ATCTTGTGTTTTCAACGTGCATTATTCGTTATTTAGTGGAGCTTAGTGAATTGCATCAGACATTAGTACGTACCTGGTTCAGAAACTGATTTTCTACAAAACGACATGTAAGTTATTTGTATTTTATTAATATTCATATTCATATTTTAATTTTAAAGAATATCGTTTATTAAATTGAGTAATTTTTTTCGATATGAAACTCTTTTGGCATTCACATCATACATTCATACATCCACACGGTGACGCTTTCGTCTTTTGTTCTAAGATTTCAATAGTATTCATATTTGCCTTATCATATTTTGCGTCGTGCTACACCAAGTTTGTGTTTTCGTACACTTCGAATAAAAACAAAAAATACTGGGAATGAATAAATTTTTTCTTTTAAATAAATAATAAGAGAGACGATTAATGAGCTATATATATGATATCAAAATTTTACAGTATAAACTGTAAATTTATATAGTAATTCAAATAAATGTTCCTGACGACATTGTATCTAAAAATCATCATCGAGTACATTGCAAATTCTTCATTGAATTTTTCTTGTGTTTAGAAGTGAGTGGCATTGCGAAGATTCTCTGGAACTGTTTGAGACCAAGCCCACGTTTCAAGAGCCAATGTTAATGCTCCAACGTTCACTTCATTATAGCAGCAACAACCAATAAACGTTACACCTGACTTCAAAGGTTTTTGTTCGTAACATTCGTAAGTCGACGGACGTGGAAAATGGCACATCAACAAAGAAACAATGCAGTTGGTGAAGAAAGAGTATTTGACGGTTATTCATATTTAGTCCATGAAAGAAGAAATAACAAAATGTAAGTTTTTTTTTAACAACGCTAATGATTTATTAGGTAATGAAAATTTCCTTCACATTTTATTAAAAAATTAAAAATTCAATATATTTCTCATATTTTTATAAGTTACGATAAATTACAACTTTTCTCTTCTCGGCAAATTATTATTCTTGAAATAATTATTTATATTAATATTGAAAATGCGTCATGAAATGTTCAAAACAAATTTTTATTTTTTTCACTTAAAATTTTCAGCTATCTACGATGCAGACATTATCAAACTAGATTTTGCCAAGGACGAGGAAAAATAGTTGGTGGTGTTTTTATCATCACAAACATTCACAATCACGCACCAGTAGCGGATTTACAAATTATACGTAAATTTAGGAAAAATTTGAGACAAGCTTGTGAGACGCAATTTCGTAGTCCGCGCGAAATCTATAACTCATTATCACCGATGTAAGTTTTTCATGACATTTATTAAATTTACTTCTTTTAAAGATTATTTGACTTAATGATCCATTTATTTTTGTCTTCTCCTATTTACTATTTATTTATTTATTTATAGATATCCCGATGCAGCATTAATTGTCACATGGGAAATTATTCATAGAACAATGGTACGATGGCAGTTAAATAGGAGTTTTCCAAACGCTCCATCACTAGTTCGATTAATGGACATTTTGAGTCAACCTATGTATCAACAATTAATGATTCATGAAACCGGTGAAATGAGTGTAAAATTAGTAAGACCAAACGGTGTAGATCAAATTTTTGGAGTAGTTATTACTGACACACAGCTACCAGCCAGAATCGTCTCAAATAATAATCCAATTTTTATTTCAATTCATCGATTAAATGTCCCATTAGGTATGGACATTTTTGAAAATTTGGCAATTATTGTTCCACATCAAAATCATGTAAGTTTATTCATATTATATTGTTTAATATAAATGAAAAAATTAAGATAATAAATTGGGAAGGCAAGAAAGATAGATGAAGAGAAATAAGAAGCTAAAAAGATCAAATTTAGAATAGTAATGGTTGTATTTATGTTAATAACGAACAAAGTTAGTAAAACGAGTTATAGAAGAGATAGATAAGCAGTAAAGAAAAGTATTTTTTGCAGTCTTTTTCAGTTGGCTGGAGTTTTATCAGCAATACCAATGAAAATACCTATAGTACAATAATTGGAAAAATGATGGAGGAAATAGGTGAAAATTTCAATCCTCGAAAAATATTTTTTAATTTCAACAACAGAATTTTCCAATATTTACGAGGAGCTTTCACGACTGAGACAATTGTAAGAGGCAGCTTTTCATCTCACTGCCACGTACGTAAAAATCATATATAGTATTACTGAAGTACTCATGAAGTTAATGAATTATTGTCATCATTGTTAATTTTGATTATTTTTATACAGATAATTCTTCAGCAAGCAGTACTGATGAATATTGAATTCAACCATGATAATTTAGTAATTATTCAAAAACTAATTGCTTTAAGTTTACTACCACCTGAAAGAATTTATGAAGCATTTATTTCATTAAGGAGTGCGATACCTGGCAACATGGAACAACTGGAACAGATTTTCCAGTATTATGATAATTATTGGATCATTAATATTGGTCCTGAAAATTACAGTTTTTATAGTGATGAAGAAGCCCTATTTAACAGTGAAGATGCTCAATGGGAAATGATTGAGAGCATGATACATAACCGGGATAGAACCATTTGGGACTATTTAAGTAAAACATCTCAAGAAAATATAGTGAATTATATAATATTAATCTTCTATTCATTGATCATGAAAATTTTTCAGAAACATTTTTTACGGTGACTCAAAGATCTCATTCTACACTTAATCAAATAGCTAATGAAGATAGAAGATCAATAAATAAAATTCCTCGAGTTCGATACGTCATCCATCGACCCAGTATTCTTCGTTTATGGCATTTAATTGAGAACAACCGAATAAACATCTCTCATTTCCTGGGTGCATGTACTGGATTGTTAGAATCTTTTATTAATGATCTAATATTCAAAGGAATATATCCTGATGCCGATTTTGAAATAGTCAGATATGATAACATTCATAATCGTAAGTTAAATATTTGAAATATAATACTTAAACATTTTTTGAATATTGAACAAAAGTTTAAGAATATAGTATATTACAGAATATTCGATATATAAAAATTTGAGTATCACTAATCTTGTACTTGGTACAGAATTAATTCCAGAGTTTGAAGTTGAGCCGATAGCTATTTTAGCAGAACTGCACGTCAACGGATTACCTCGACGCCAAGAAGTCTTGAATAACATATTATGGCGAAACCGACTAGTTGAAGGTAAGGGAGTAATGACCAACAATTTTTTATAATACAATTTCATCAATGTAAAATTATCCAATTTATAATAAATATTTCAGAAGGTAGATTCGTTACAGACGATGGAAGATGCATAGGGTGTGTTGGGAATTTAGTACAAACTGAATTTCTACCATGTAGACATTGCGTATTGTGTGAAAGGTGTACTGAAGAGTTAAGAGAAACAGCAACTAGAGACGGACTTCCACTGAGATGCCCTATTTGTCGAGCTGATCCGGTTGAAGTGAGGCGAATTGAATAATTATTTCAAGCTGCATCATAATAATTAGCAGCATCGTCTTTTCAGAGTGAATAATAATAAAGTAGTATACTATTTGGTTTTTAATTTGACGGGTTATAAGTAAATCTAACATTAAAATAAGTTTTTTATATTATCTTTATATTTTGTTAAATATAACAAGGTAAGAGAAGATACGACAAGCCAGTTTTCTTTAGGCATCGCTCTATAGAACTATTGTTGAAAAGTCGTTCTTCTAATTTTTCATTTTTTCTTTGTTGTGGAGCAACAAAAGTAATATAAAGTAATGACTAACATTATTCAAGTTTTTTTAATTACTTATTTTTTTGTATTATGTTTGTACTTGAGAAGGTATTGACGATAACATTGTAAGTTACAACAGATAATTTTAACATAGTCGAAATTGTTAGTTGTAATCAGATTTTTTAAGATAGACTATTATTGATCAAATAGGTTTATAAGTTGAGACATAATATAAGTAATAATGAATTTTCAAAATTATTGAATTTTAAAATGAATAGAGATCAACAACTCAGATTTATATAAAAGAATTTCTAATTTCGAAATATTCATTATTACAATTTACATGACAGTAATTAATAATAGATTATTTTTTTATGTTTACATGCATAATAATGGTGTTTTTTTTTAAAAAAAAATTGGATGAAAAAAAAATATAAGATATCGTCAAAAAATATTTTTATTCATAATAAAGTTAAATACTTTTTAATACAGTTTGATATAAAGAATATTATCTGAAATGTATTCATTTTTATAAGTGAACAGTAAACTGTTAATTGAAATTACTTTTATTCTCTTACAATGTATGTTATTTCTATTTCAATAAATTTGTTTGATATATACAAAGAAAGAGTTCTTTATGAGTTTTGTAATTAATTATAAAATGTAGTTTAATTTTTTTAGTTTAATATTGATTTATTTCAATTATTATTAATTCATTTATTCTGTTTGTGTAAATGCTGAAACTCATTTTCTATTGACAATATACAGTCAAAGCTCGATGTAGTCAACCCAAAAAATCTTTTTATTATATATGAAAATAGGTCTCTGTGTACACAATTAACAGAATTATAGATAATTTTCATTTATTTTCTGTAATAATGATCTAATATTATAACAATTGTTCGAAAATATATCAGTTTATGGCTGTTATCTTTTATCAGTTACTTTAAGAAATTTACTTTACCTACCGCGAAATTTGATTACCTACCGTTGGTAATATCTCGTTTCAATGTTATCGATATAGTTTGTGGATAAAATGACTATTAGAGATTTTTTTCTTTGGATACAATTGTCATTAAATATTTTAAGCATTTTTATAATCAAACTGTGGGATAGTTTATCATTGTATCTATAAGTTCTTGATTTATATCGTTACATGATCGAATTATGCATAATCATTTATGTGAATGTTGTCATTGATAATGGTGTTCTTTATAGTTGTACTAAATTTACATTAGACATAACTTCTCATAGGAACTTTTAGTTTTGGTCATTAGAATGTAGCTGTCGTTAATGTCTTTCCTGAATCTATATGGCACCCCATTGCTCAAACTGGAAATTCTGACCTGAGTAACAAAATATTGTCTTTTTCTCGGATGGACATGGTCATTGAAAATAGCTTCTCTCAGTATTTTGTAAATACTGAATCTATGGAGTCTAAAATAATTAGATGTTAGTGCGTATTTATTCGTGTTATTGTCAGTCAGTATTTGTCGATTCTTCAAAATCGAGAATTTTGTATACATGGACGTTTGTGATTCTGTGTAGTTGCTATCCTTTATTCATGAAACTTTTTCAATGTTGTCAGTGTATGTAGATGTTAATTTTATAAATTTTGTCAATAGCTAACAGTTTCGGTGGCCAAAAAAATATAATCACTTTTTTGATTTTTAAGTTTCATTAAAAATGGAAAAAAAAATCTATTTATTTTTCGGCCAACAGTGTAAGTGTGCGAAGTTTTTCACAGAAACTGATGAAATTGATCAAAAAACTATTCATCAAAAGATAGAAGATCTTTGTGTACGTGATGTAAACTTGAAAAGATTGAGACAAAATAAAACAATTGTATTACAATTAAAAGATGATGACAAGAACATCTGGTGTGATGTTGAAGATGATGATACATTTACTGATAAAACAGAAATAAATGTTATTTTTATACCATCGGATCACCCGACATCACCAGCTCCATTTTTCAATAGTAAAAATGTAATGAAAATTACAGCAATTATTTTACAGAATATAATGGAATATGCATGATTAGAATTAGTGTTTTAGATATAAAAAAAAATTAAAATCTTTTTCAGATTCTTATAGTTATTACATACATTACGAAAACATGATTGATTTTAGGTTATGAGAAATTTTGGTATTTTTCTCACAAACCATAACAAACATGTTATGTGATAGAATAATCGATTCTTTTTCAGCAGAGTTTAGTGGTTATTATGTAAATTTTAAATTCTCGTATAACATCAAGTTAGCATTCTATGATAGATTATTCATATGTATTTTTCGTCATGCCTGCGCGGAAAGTTCACTTTTCCATTGGAGAGGGGTTGAACTTTCCACTCAGGTATGACGAAAAATTATATTCAGCCCTAAGGAGGACAATTAGACAAGCTTAAACCACGTGTTTACCCCCCTCGCCTTCGGCTCGGGTTGTAATTTTACACGTGGTTTGAGCTAGTCTACTTTTCCTCCCTAGGTGTGAAATATACTATTATTCAAACGAACGATAAGCAGTAATAATGAAGTTATTGTAATTTATATACAAAGAAAAACAAATGGATTATCTCTTACAGATTCTAATCATGCATTTCTTTATAATTGATAAAAATTTTCAGTATCATAGTTTTTTAGTTGTCAAGAATAATCAAATTAAAATAAAACTTCTATATCAATAATTTGCGAACTTTTATTTTTAGATAAAAGAGAATGAACGATATTAGTAATCGTTAATTGTTAAAACTAACTAAATTTGCAGTTAACATAAATAATTACTATTTAAAATTATTTAAAAAAAAAAACGATAAATTCTACTATATGTTACTTTAAATTTTTTTAATCTATTACAATTTTAAGTAATAAACAAAAATTCTATAATTAAAAGGAATAAATACTCTGAATAAGTTGAAATGTTTTATAATTTATCAGAATCCGACATTAAAATTCAAATTTTTTTTATAGAAAACATAGACAGATTTCGATATGATCAAGCAGAAATTTTTTAAAGAATTGATAAAGTTATATTAATTATAGCTACATTTCATTATATTTATGAGTTTTTAATAGTTTCCGTAAAACTGATTACTTCTTTTTTTCAGGAATGTGAAGAGATGCGACGGTATATTAAATTAGTGAACAATGAGCAAAAGTTAAATAATGGACCAAATCAACAGTTTTTAGAAGGAAATCATAACTTATTGGTAATAAAATTTAGCTTATCAATTTTAAATCATTTACTATACAATTTTTTGTTTGTAGGAATTCGTATAAAGTGATCTCTTTTTTTTTACAACATATTTACAAATTTGATTATTTATATTATTTTTTTTAAAAACCAATGAACTTATCCAATTACTAGAAAAATTCTTTTTTCTCATGATGTGATAATTTTCTGAACTTCTCGTATAGATAAATAGTAATACAAATTATGAAAATGAAAATAATTATCGAGCTAATGCATTAAATAATTAATAGTAATCCGTGTAATTTTTTTTTTTTATAATTTTTGTATGATCTAGGTTCAAGGAGACAATCAGAACGTTGTTTCTGTTAATACGTATCCAGAAGCAAGCTATAGTGGATTAGCTTCTAGACCTCTGTCTTTCATAAACGTGAGAGATACTTCTTTTTCTACATTACCTCCTTTAACATTCGATTTGAATGAAAAAATTAAGAGAAAAGGAATATTAGCATCCCAAAAAGATCTTATTTATCATTGGGGTTGCTATTTGTGGGAGAATACTGAAGGAAGACCAAAAAGGCAGGATTATCAAAACCTAGCTTCAACAATTGTTAGAACGTATCCAGTACTTGCTTCTACTGATGGTGATAGCGTGAGTATAACTTTTACTTAAAAATATTAATATTTATTTCTACAACTATTTAAAAAAAAAATAATCACGTTTCTATGTTTTTGATGTTGCTATCTTACGTAATATAAGTTATTATTTATATAACTATTATTTTAATTGTTTATTATTTTTACCTTTAAATTGCAGGTTATTATCCGAAAATCATTAAGCACATGGATACGCAATCACCGTGCAACTTTAAAAAACCAAGCTGCGAAAAGAGATCACGAAGGGCGTATAGTTAATTCTAGCTCAGACACTGATTTAGTCAGAAAAGACGAGTATGTTAATTAAATAAATTATAAAAGAATATATAACTTTCAAAATCTGTTATTCTTAATGAAATATTCCAGTCTTATCACAAAAATAGATATTCAAATTGTTGATATATTTCAGAGATCAGTATGACGTAGAACAATCATTAGAAGACTTTGTGAAATATTCTCAATGTCTGGCATTTTCTGATAATTACTGTCAAAATCCTACAACTCATTACCATGATAGCTGCGAAGACGTAAGAACAGCATATACTGGATCAGTGGATAATGAACATGAGTTTAGTGATGAACAAAATGAACATTTCTTAGAAGAAAAACATGATATACAGGTAATCAAATTTAGTTAATTTATCATTTATTGATTTCTTTTTTTTTTTTATTAGAAATTTCACTAACAAAATTACTGAGTTATTGACTATAAGTAATTGCTCTCGTTACATTTAGTAAAAGTATGAAAGATTGGGAAAAGAAAAAACAATGTGAATACGAGTACAGCGAATAGAAGTACAGTAGTTTATGACAGACAATTATAGAAAGACTGACTAAGATAGGCCAGTATTGGCAATCGGTTTTAATATGTTAATTGACTTACATAAAAATTCAAGTAATCATTGAATGGCTATAAATAGACTCGCAAGCATCAAGTTAAAGAAATATTATCATTACTGGTGTAATAACAAAAAATTTATTACATTTTTTTTCGGAATTCATTTTATGATCCTCAACACAGAAATACCAAATAAAAATTGCCTACAATAGTTAAATAATTATCGATATATTTTTTCTTCTATAATCTAAATTGCACTTTTATAATTTTTGTATGATACAGGTCCAAGAAGACCATAAAAACATTATTTCTGTTGATGTGCATCCAGAACCAGATTGTAGTGAATTATCCTCCAGATCTCCATCTTTTATGAATGTAAGGGATACTTCTTTTTCAACCTTACCTCCTCTTACATTCGATTTACATGAGAAAATTAAAAAGAAAGGAGTATTAGCATCCCAAAAAGATCTTATTTATCATTGGGGTTGTTATTTGTGGGAGAATACTGAAGGTAGCCCAAAAAGGCAAGATTATCAGAGACTCGCTTCGACAATTGTCAGAATGTATCCGGTTCTGGGCTCAAGTGAAGGCGATAGTGTAAGCATAATTGTTACATGAGTTTTCAGTCAATCATTCATTATATTAAAATATAATAATGTTTCTTTTTTACGTAAAGTTTTAATGGATTCCTTTTTTTATTTCTAAACTGCAGGTTATTATCAGAAAATCATTAAGTACATGGATACGCAATCATCGTGCAATTTTAAAAAACCAAGCGAAAAAAAGTCACAAAAGACGAATCGTAAATTTCCCATCAAACGTTAGAAAAGAAGAGTAAGTTAATAAATAAATTATGAATACATATACTTTATACAATCTATATGTATTAATTAACTTTTCTGATGCTTCCATGAAAATGAATATTTCAACAATATTGATATTTGATATTTTAGAGATCAGTATGATATAGAACAAGCATTGAAAGAGTTGGCGGAAAAACAAAAGGAAGGAGACTCACCTCATATTCGCCATATTTTGAAAATCACCCTGGCAATCCGACGTACGTGGATTAAAAAGAGTGCCAAGTCTATTACTGAAATCATAAGAAAATATCCCCTACTGGCAAACAGTGAATTGGTAAGTATTTTAAAATAAATAAAACAAGCTTCCTTTTATAATCATTACATAGATGAGAATAAGAGCAATTCTGTTGATAACTTAAATGCTTCTTATTTATTCTAGGTCATCTTCGAATTCTGTAATTTAAAGCACCTTACTGAAGAAGTTTTAAGTAATAATATTGACAAGATGTTTGATAAATTGACTACATTTTTTAACACTGGAAAAACTGATGACAAAACTAAAGCCTGTTGTTTACAACTTTTGTACGACCGAGTGACAACGATAAAGAAAACTATTAAACCATTAATAACTATTGAAGAAGTATGTTATGATGCATTCACGAATATTTCTCGATTATTTTGAATAATTTTATATGAAAAACAATACTTTTTACAGGTTTATTCATCTAGTAAAAATCTTATCGCAGTTGAAGGAGAATCACCACGCAGTGTGATATATACAAACGAAGATGATATTGAAACTGCATACATTGTTGCTGACCCGGAAATTAACATGAAAATAGAGAAACCGTCAATAAAGAAAATAATTATGGTCCTGTTGGCTGCATATTATGTATGGGACGTCACTTATCCAAAACCTTACAGGAATATTTTAGAATATTTGGATCATGAAGTGATTGGAACTCCAATTGATAGAAAAAATGTTGTGCTATTAAAATTCATACGCCAAAGAGATTCCGAAGAACAAAATATAAAAAATGTGGTATAAAGAATTAAAAAAAAAAGAAATTTTTTTTTTATTGATTATTTATATTATCATATCCTATGATTATACATTATAACTACATAGAATATTACATATTAATAATGTTTTGATGTAAAACATTTTAATATATTAAACAATAAAGTATTTACTAATAAAACTATTATTTGATTTCGACACAAAGCGTTTAAATGATTTTAATTTCTAAACACCGCAATCATTGAGCGAATATTTTTATTAACAGTACTCCACCATATTCACTGTGTGCTGACGTTCATTATGAACGAATGATGGAGCTTTTCGATAGAAAAGGATATTTTTGTCCTACTGTAGACGATATTCAAAATGCAGTAAAGAGCTCTTTAAAGGTAAAAAAAAATTACTTACTAATGGAATCTGTTGTATTTTACCTCATAGGTAACAGATGCACCAAGTCTTATAAATATACTAATCAATCCAACTGCTGAACGCAAAGAACAAAAATTCGGGTGGCTGACAGAATCAAAGCTTTAATATTATATTTTTATGATAGATGATTGTTGAATAATGGATAAAAGTTTGTACTAAATTTAAGAAAATATTTTTATTAAAAAAAAATATAATATGAAATCTATTATATATGAAAATAGAATTTTTTAGATTATTTATTTATAAATGCCATTAGTTTTTGAGTAATAGTGTCCACTGTTAAAGGCACTGATTGAATTATATCTGTATTATTATCTTCATCAAGTAGATCTAGTAACTCATCCACTTTTACTCCTCTTTTTTTAAGAATGTGACAGAAAGTCAGGTTGCAATTATTTATTGAATTGTTCAAAGGCCCATCCTCCTTTATTATTTCTTTTATTATTCTGAATTCTTGTTTGCTATAAAAAACAATAAATGAAAGAAGTATTAGTTGAAACAATGAATTGTAATTTTACTTGTATCATTAGTAAATGTTACAATACATTTTTTCGGACATGATTGCAATATTTTCTAAAGTTTCAGCAGTTTCTATTTGTACTTCTGTTATTGATTTGGTGGACATTCTTGATAATTAACAAAAAAAGTTTGAATTATCAAAAATCAACATTTATAATCGGTAAATGTAATACTCAGTTGCTATTTTTACGCGCAGTCTAAGTCGAAAGTTTGATGTTTCGTAGTTATGCCACTAGAGGCATTTAACACGCTACCAGGTGGCGCATGGTGACATGACATTTAGTTTCACCACCAGACGGCGCACAAGACTGGTAGTCTAGGCAACGAAAACTGTTTGAAATCACTTGAGACTTGGATGTCAACCAGTGCACACCGTGTATTTTTTGCTCTGTTTTTTTTTTGAAAATACAAGTGAAGTTTCAATTTTATGCAACATTTGCATAATCAAAACGCAAAAGCGAACATTGATAAGTGAGTGTTTGTAAGAGAAAAAGTTTAATTTGTACAGTTGAGGTCAAGTGAACGAACAATGTCAAGTTGGAGTGCCGAAAATAGTAAAGGGATAATCCCTCCACGATGGTTACACTGTCCTCGAAAAAGTATAGGATTAATAAATAATAAATTTCTTGCATTTAAAACACCACTATCAGAAGCATTTAATAGTCAAGTTTCTGAAGAATGTCGTTTTTCTGTAAACATGTTGTTTGCATCATTAAAGAGTCAAAGACTGAAAATGGGATTACTAATAGATTTGACAAATACTAACAGATTTTATAATAAAGCTGATGTCGAAGCCCACAGTTGTCATTACTACAAACTTCAATGTCGAGGTCATGGAGAAACTCCCACCATAAAACAAACAAAAGTTTTTATTGAAATTTGCAAAAATTTTATTGCACAAAATCCATCGGAGATTATTGGAGTCCATTGCACCCATGGTTTCAATAGAACTGGGTTTCTTCTGATAAGCTACTTAATTGAAAGTGGGACATTTAATTTGGACGCTGCTGTTAATGAATTCTCATCTATTAGACCTCCTGGAATTTACAAGGAAGACTACATCAAAGAGTTATACAGACGATATGATGATGAGAGTTATGCACCGCCTGCACCACCAAGTCCAGCTTGGTGTTTGGAATACGACGACTCCAGAGGGGACGAGAAAGAACATGAACAATTCGGAAGTAGGAAACATATCCGAAGACGTAAGGAACATATTGTTAAAAATCCAGTTTTTATGGCTGGAGTTCCTGGTGTGGTACCTGTACAAGATTTAGTTAAAGTTGCAGGAATTCAAAAAAGAGTTCAAGAAATGTGCCAATGGAATAGAAATGGCTTCCCTGGTTCTCAACCAGTCTCCATGGATTGGGAGAATATTGTTTTACTTAATATCAAACCATATAGAGTATCATGGAAAGCTGATGGTACTAGATACATGATGCTAATCCAAGCAGATAATGAGGTATTCTTCATTGATCGAGATAATAGTGTCTTCCAAGTGTCTGGATTGGTATTTCCACACCCTCGAGATCTTTCAAGAAATCTGAAAGATACATTATTGGATGGCGAAATGGTCATTGATAAAGCAAATGGTACCGAATATCCTAGGTACTTAGTTTATGATGTAATTATGTATGACGGGAACGATGTATCTAAAAAATCATTTTTTCCTGATCGATATACCATCATCGAGAGAGAAGTAATGGGAGGCCGATATAGAGCACTAAAAGAAAGTAGAATATACCGAGAACAAGAACCTTTTTCTGTCCGACAAAAGCAATTTTGGGATATCACACAAGTCAACAGTTTGTTGAGTGAAAAATTCACCAAACAATTGGGTCATGAACCAGACGGATTAATCTTCCAGCCTTCAAAGGAGCCTTACATCTCTGGAACTGCAGCAGAAGTCTTAAAATGGAAGCCATTGTCATTGAATTCTGTAGATTTTAAATTAAAAATAGTCGTTGAATCAGGTATGGGTATTGTACCCAGAAAAATAGGTCATTTATATGTTGGAGGCTTAAAAAAACCATTTGATTACATAAAAATTACTACAGAAATTAAAGATTTAAATAATAAAATAATTGAATGTAAATTTGAAAATGGGCATTGGGTGTTTATGCGTCAAAGAACGGATAAATCATTTCCCAATTCTTTCACCACTGCTCAGTCTGTTTGCCAAAGTATTAGAGCACCTGTTACTTCGGAAGATTTATGTGATTATATTGAGAAATATAAATTTAAAGATGATTCTGATTGTTTGCCTCCACCATATAAACGACGTAGATAACAATTGATAGAAAAATTAGAAAATTAATCATGTTAAAATTGTATTTTTTTTAATGTTAACTGTTAGCTTCATAATTTGTAAATGTTACTTATTATTAAATTAATTTAATATTTGTACAGAAATTGTATTTTCTTGAATAATCTATTTTTTCAAGATAGATTGTAAATTAGATTTATTGGAAATTATATTAAAGACTGGAATGCATGTGTGATATGAAAATGATAGTAATTGTACTATAATATTTAATAGCTTCTTTTGTAAAAATTAAAATGTATTATGTATATTAATTTAATAATTTATTTTTGTTAAATGTCATTTTTTAATTTAAATTAAATTTTTTTACGTAGAGTTTTTAAAGACTGGAATGCATGTGTGATATTGTAATAATAGTAATTATATTGTTATATGTAAAAATGTACTGTATACATATATCTATTTTTTTGAATTGAATAAAATTTGTTATATCGATTTTTCCTATAAAAATAGCATTTCTTCATTTAATTACCTTTCATAGACATAAGTACATAGTAATTAGTTATTAAGAATGATTAATTTAAACTAAATTCAAAAATATATACTTCAAAATACTTAAAATTACTCATGTCTCGTTATTTACTCCACAATTAGCATCTATATTAATAACATTTATCAATAATGTTAATAAAATTTTAACACTCAACTCTGATTTAATAATATTTCTAGACATGAGTTATTAGTTATTAAGAATAAAAAAATTAAGAAAAAAGAATTTTTAAGACATAAGTTTATAGTAATTAGCTATTAGTTATTAAAAATTATTAATTAAAAACAAAATTTAAAAATCTATATCCTTATATATTAACAATTAATACGGGCAATTGGGAATTTCCCATGCTTTGTTATTCTGTACCTGGGTATTTTTCATTCCCGGTAGGCAAATATTTACCCTTAATAGCTATAACCACCTGTCGAATCTTTAAGAGTGCACTAAAATTAATAATAAAATAGAATTAGAAAGTTAGGATAGTAATGTACTTGCGCTCTTTTAAATAGGGATTAAAAAGGGATTTTAAATTGTCATGCGGGTACTACAAAATAATCAAAGTTCTCCATTAGATTTAGGATGATTTATACTTGTATGATAGGTACTGTTGCGCAGAAAATTAAAACTGACTATTTTGTAGTGCCCGCATGAAAGATCCTTATTTTTAATTTTATTGCACTTTCAAAAGTTCTAGAGGTAATGGTAGTTGTAAAGGGTAAAGGGCAAAAGTTTGCCTACCTGGGCTGAAAAATATAATTTTAAATTCCACTTCAGAAACTTAGAGAAGTGAAAAATTAATTACTTTTAATTTTCTTTTTCAGATCGCACAGTTCATTTGTGGTGTACGAAGGATCTTTTGCTTTGCTTTTCCTTATATTTTTAACATTTACTGAAGATGAACTCCAAATGTTTATTAATTCAACTAATTTACCATTTTTACCAACTCCAATGGGAAAAGGTGTTATTTCTGATTTGGATCCACATTGTGTTTCAAGTGCAAGAACAACTGCTTTACTTCATGCGGATGTTATACTTTTATTGGGAGCTAGATTAAACTGGATGCTCCATTTTGGTCGACCTCCACGATATCAAAGTGACGTTAAAATCATACAGGTTCAACTATTTCATGATCTGTTGATAAGTATAATTAAAAAGTTTATTAATATATAATGGAAATTTTATTCAAATTGAATGCAGGTAGAGATATGTGCAGAAGAATTACATAATTCAGTTACATCAGAAGTTGCTATTCAAGCGGACATAAGATGCCCTTCAAAGCAAGAATTTTTATTTTGGTCAAGAAGAAGACTGGTGGACTCAATTAGAAAAAGCTGGAAGTGAAAATAAAATGAAATTACAGCAATTATCATCAGATATATCAGTTGCTATCCTTTATTCATGAAACTTTTTCAATGTTGTCAGTGTATGTAGATGTTAATTTTATAAATTTTGTCAATAGCTAACAGTTTCGGTGGCCAAAAAAATATAATCACTTTTTTGATTTTTAAGTTTCATTAAAAATGGAAAAAAAAATCTATTTATTTTTCGGCCAACAGTGTAAGTGTGCGAAGTTTTTCACAGAAACTGATGAAATTGATCAAAAAACTATTCATCAAAAGATAGAAGATCTTTGTGTACGTGATGTAAACTTGAAAAGATTGAGACAAAATAAAACAATTGTATTACAATTAAAAGATGATGACAAGAACATCTGGTGTGATGTTGAAGATGATGATACATTTACTGATAAAACAGAAATAAATGTTATTTTTATACCATCGGATCACCCGACATCACCAGCTCCATTTTTCAATAGTAAAAATGTAATGAAAATTACAGCAATTATTTTACAGAATATAATGGAATATGCATGATTAGAATTAGTGTTTTAGATATAAAAAAAAATTAAAATCTTTTTCAGATTCTTATAGTTATTACATACATTACGAAAACATGATTGATTTTAGGTTATGAGAAATTTTGGTATTTTTCTCACAAACCATAACAAACATGTTATGTGATAGAATAATCGATTCTTTTTCAGCAGAGTTTAGTGGTTATTATGTAAATTTTAAATTCTCGTATAACATCAAGTTAGCATTCTATGATAGATTATTCATATGTATTTTTCGTCATGCCTGCGCGGAAAGTTCACTTTTCCATTGGAGAGGGGTTGAACTTTCCACTCAGGTATGACGAAAAATTATATTCAGCCCTAAGGAGGACAATTAGACAAGCTTAAACCACGTGTTTACCCCCCTCGCCTTCGGCTCGGGTTGTAATTTTACACGTGGTTTGAGCTAGTCTACTTTTCCTCCCTAGGTGTGAAATATACTATTATTCAAACGAACGATAAGCAGTAATAATGAAGTTATTGTAATTTATATACAAAGAAAAACAAATGGATTATCTCTTACAGATTCTAATCATGCATTTCTTTATAATTGATAAAAATTTTCAGTATCATAGTTTTTTAGTTGTCAAGAATAATCAAATTAAAATAAAACTTCTATATCAATAATTTGCGAACTTTTATTTTTAGATAAAAGAGAATGAACGATATTAGTAATCGTTAATTGTTAAAACTAACTAAATTTGCAGTTAACATAAATAATTACTATTTAAAATTATTTAAAAAAAAAAACGATAAATTCTACTATATGTTACTTTAAATTTTTTTAATCTATTACAATTTTAAGTAATAAACAAAAATTCTATAATTAAAAGGAATAAATACTCTGAATAAGTTGAAATGTTTTATAATTTATCAGAATCCGACATTAAAATTCAAATTTTTTTTATAGAAAACATAGACAGATTTCGATATGATCAAGCAGAAATTTTTTAAAGAATTGATAAAGTTATATTAATTATAGCTACATTTCATTATATTTATGAGTTTTTAATAGTTTCCGTAAAACTGATTACTTCTTTTTTTCAGGAATGTGAAGAGATGCGACGGTATATTAAATTAGTGAACAATGAGCAAAAGTTAAATAATGGACCAAATCAACAGTTTTTAGAAGGAAATCATAACTTATTGGTAATAAAATTTAGCTTATCAATTTTAAATCATTTACTATACAATTTTTTGTTTGTAGGAATTCGTATAAAGTGATCTCTTTTTTTTTACAACATATTTACAAATTTGATTATTTATATTATTTTTTTTAAAAACCAATGAACTTATCCAATTACTAGAAAAATTCTTTTTTCTCATGATGTGATAATTTTCTGAACTTCTCGTATAGATAAATAGTAATACAAATTATGAAAATGAAAATAATTATCGAGCTAATGCATTAAATAATTAATAGTAATCCGTGTAATTTTTTTTTTTTATAATTTTTGTATGATCTAGGTTCAAGGAGACAATCAGAACGTTGTTTCTGTTAATACGTATCCAGAAGCAAGCTATAGTGGATTAGCTTCTAGACCTCTGTCTTTCATAAACGTGAGAGATACTTCTTTTTCTACATTACCTCCTTTAACATTCGATTTGAATGAAAAAATTAAGAGAAAAGGAATATTAGCATCCCAAAAAGATCTTATTTATCATTGGGGTTGCTATTTGTGGGAGAATACTGAAGGAAGACCAAAAAGGCAGGATTATCAAAACCTAGCTTCAACAATTGTTAGAACGTATCCAGTACTTGCTTCTACTGATGGTGATAGCGTGAGTATAACTTTTACTTAAAAATATTAATATTTATTTCTACAACTATTTAAAAAAAAAATAATCACGTTTCTATGTTTTTGATGTTGCTATCTTACGTAATATAAGTTATTATTTATATAACTATTATTTTAATTGTTTATTATTTTTACCTTTAAATTGCAGGTTATTATCCGAAAATCATTAAGCACATGGATACGCAATCACCGTGCAACTTTAAAAAACCAAGCTGCGAAAAGAGATCACGAAGGGCGTATAGTTAATTCTAGCTCAGACACTGATTTAGTCAGAAAAGACGAGTATGTTAATTAAATAAATTATAAAAGAATATATAACTTTCAAAATCTGTTATTCTTAATGAAATATTCCAGTCTTATCACAAAAATAGATATTCAAATTGTTGATATATTTCAGAGATCAGTATGACGTAGAACAATCATTAGAAGACTTTGTGAAATATTCTCAATGTCTGGCATTTTCTGATAATTACTGTCAAAATCCTACAACTCATTACCATGATAGCTGCGAAGACGTAAGAACAGCATATACTGGATCAGTGGATAATGAACATGAGTTTAGTGATGAACAAAATGAACATTTCTTAGAAGAAAAACATGATATACAGGTAATCAAATTTAGTTAATTTATCATTTATTGATTTCTTTTTTTTTTTTATTAGAAATTTCACTAACAAAATTACTGAGTTATTGACTATAAGTAATTGCTCTCGTTACATTTAGTAAAAGTATGAAAGATTGGGAAAAGAAAAAACAATGTGAATACGAGTACAGCGAATAGAAGTACAGTAGTTTATGACAGACAATTATAGAAAGACTGACTAAGATAGGCCAGTATTGGCAATCGGTTTTAATATGTTAATTGACTTACATAAAAATTCAAGTAATCATTGAATGGCTATAAATAGACTCGCAAGCATCAAGTTAAAGAAATATTATCATTACTGGTGTAATAACAAAAAATTTATTACATTTTTTTTCGGAATTCATTTTATGATCCTCAACACAGAAATACCAAATAAAAATTGCCTACAATAGTTAAATAATTATCGATATATTTTTTCTTCTATAATCTAAATTGCACTTTTATAATTTTTGTATGATACAGGTCCAAGAAGACCATAAAAACATTATTTCTGTTGATGTGCATCCAGAACCAGATTGTAGTGAATTATCCTCCAGATCTCCATCTTTTATGAATGTAAGGGATACTTCTTTTTCAACCTTACCTCCTCTTACATTCGATTTACATGAGAAAATTAAAAAGAAAGGAGTATTAGCATCCCAAAAAGATCTTATTTATCATTGGGGTTGTTATTTGTGGGAGAATACTGAAGGTAGCCCAAAAAGGCAAGATTATCAGAGACTCGCTTCGACAATTGTCAGAATGTATCCGGTTCTGGGCTCAAGTGAAGGCGATAGTGTAAGCATAATTGTTACATGAGTTTTCAGTCAATCATTCATTATATTAAAATATAATAATGTTTCTTTTTTACGTAAAGTTTTAATGGATTCCTTTTTTTATTTCTAAACTGCAGGTTATTATCAGAAAATCATTAAGTACATGGATACGCAATCATCGTGCAATTTTAAAAAACCAAGCGAAAAAAAGTCACAAAAGACGAATCGTAAATTTCCCATCAAACGTTAGAAAAGAAGAGTAAGTTAATAAATAAATTATGAATACATATACTTTATACAATCTATATGTATTAATTAACTTTTCTGATGCTTCCATGAAAATGAATATTTCAACAATATTGATATTTGATATTTTAGAGATCAGTATGATATAGAACAAGCATTGAAAGAGTTGGCGGAAAAACAAAAGGAAGGAGACTCACCTCATATTCGCCATATTTTGAAAATCACCCTGGCAATCCGACGTACGTGGATTAAAAAGAGTGCCAAGTCTATTACTGAAATCATAAGAAAATATCCCCTACTGGCAAACAGTGAATTGGTAAGTATTTTAAAATAAATAAAACAAGCTTCCTTTTATAATCATTACATAGATGAGAATAAGAGCAATTCTGTTGATAACTTAAATGCTTCTTATTTATTCTAGGTCATCTTCGAATTCTGTAATTTAAAGCACCTTACTGAAGAAGTTTTAAGTAATAATATTGACAAGATGTTTGATAAATTGACTACATTTTTTAACACTGGAAAAACTGATGACAAAACTAAAGCCTGTTGTTTACAACTTTTGTACGACCGAGTGACAACGATAAAGAAAACTATTAAACCATTAATAACTATTGAAGAAGTATGTTATGATGCATTCACGAATATTTCTCGATTATTTTGAATAATTTTATATGAAAAACAATACTTTTTACAGGTTTATTCATCTAGTAAAAATCTTATCGCAGTTGAAGGAGAATCACCACGCAGTGTGATATATACAAACGAAGATGATATTGAAACTGCATACATTGTTGCTGACCCGGAAATTAACATGAAAATAGAGAAACCGTCAATAAAGAAAATAATTATGGTCCTGTTGGCTGCATATTATGTATGGGACGTCACTTATCCAAAACCTTACAGGAATATTTTAGAATATTTGGATCATGAAGTGATTGGAACTCCAATTGATAGAAAAAATGTTGTGCTATTAAAATTCATACGCCAAAGAGATTCCGAAGAACAAAATATAA